TCTATTCTGACCGTAGCGAGCCATCAGCTCTCGAATCTTTGGCGTACTGAGTTTCCTTTTGCTCACAGTCTTTCCTTCAGGCCGAGTTCTTCCTTAACCGCATCAAGGTTGAGGGTAAGACCGGTAACCTCGGTGAGCGCGTCACTGTCGCCAAGACTGGCAAGGCCAAGATCGTCGTCACCGCCTCTGCTCCCTTCTCCAAGCGTTACCTTAAGGTAAGCCCAGGGTCACCTTCCCTGGAAACGCCGCGCTTCTCGTGTGCGTCTTCCTAGTAGGTATGAGGAGTGTCGTTGAATCGGCGTGTGTCGACGTGTTGTAATTAGTGATTGCATGTTCTTTGTTCTGTGTAGTACTTGACCAAGAAGTACTTGAAGAAGCAGCTCCTTCGTGATTTCTTGAGGGTTGTCGCCAGCAACAAGAACACCTACGAGCTCCGTTACTTCTCCATCAACCAGGAAGAGTAAATGGGTTCTCCAAGTCGTGATCGTCGGCTAGGTTGTTCCCTGCGACCTGCTTGATTCGCGGTTGTTCCTGCTCGTGTTGTTGTGTCATGCTGCTGTTAATGGGAATTGTTCAGTGTATGCAAATGATGATTAGTTTCATACGTTAGACTCTGACGCCACGCGCGTGATGAGTAACCATTGGAATTCTGCAAATCTGATTGCACTCAAGTGTCATCTAAATGATAAAACGATAGCCTTCTTTCACTGAGTGATCGAAGAATTGAATCGCATTCCAAGAACAGGTTGATTAGAGTGAGATGGATTGGAATGATGAACAATTCTTCTGTGATTAACCTATGATAATCTCAAACAACTTTAATATACTCTGACCATTGATGATATGCCTATGATGATCTTAATCCATAATCACATACGTTAGAACGGATTGTAAGTGATTGATAACTTCCTATATCTGAGGCTAATTCTCTGTGGCAAAACAGATTGAAATTCTTACCATCGATAATACTTTGTTTTAAGAGCGAGACATACACGACGAAGTCATTGTCAGGATCATTGGCTGAGTATATTTTACCCCGGGTGGTACCTGGTTACCCACGTGTGATACTCATTACTTAATCAGTGCATTAGCTGGAAAGCGACCAAGACGGAAATCGAAGAAGGCATTATAGATATACATGTAAATGCCAACTTTATGTGGCAGTTTTCATTTATCCAGTGACCGGTAGAAAATATGTGCATAACCATCGAACTATGGAATTACCTCACCTAGCAACTTTAAGTGTGACTTGATAACTCAAGAAATGTATTTCAATTCCAACGTAATATACAATGCTACAGCATAAGCTTCAAATGTCGTAGTACCATTATTAAGTCGATGATGGAAGATATCGCTTGCACTACGAATACTATACGAAATCCATAACTTGGTAATGGACAGCAGCTGGTATCCGATCACGCTTAGCGATAGGATACCCAAAGGCAGCAGTAGGATCAAAGGCTTTCTTCTTCCCTCTACGTGCATGTGGTGGCATCGACTCTGTATCAGTAACATCACCAGCTGTCCTTGTACGTACACGTCCAGGGTGCAATGTTACACTACGAGGCTTTCGAACACCACGTCTACGAGCCAAACGCCGCCATTTGACAGCATTGCGAGCATGCGAGGCCTCAGGTGGAGGTCGGCCTTCTATCTCAGTGTCACTGTCGTCCACCATCACTTGATGATGCAGCCGTTTCTCGGGCAAAACTCGCTGGAGGGCCATGATGAACTCATCGGCCAAGTCGTCATCCTTAATGCACAAATCGTCAGTAGGGATCCACTCAGGCAACGGCTGAAGCAAAGACCGTGCCAGAACCTGAGGACCCGACCCCTCTAGGGAGGTGGCCAGGGTGCCCTCTCGTTCGCTCAGCATCTCCGCTGCGGCCAGCCTGCAAAGGGGACCGGTACGGCACCGAATTCACCGAGACATGCCAGACCTACCGTAACTTCTGCACTTCTCG